ACAGAGAATTGTATAAAAAGTGATTAAAACTATCAGGAAAACTCATCTCTGATCAATATTCACAGCTAAATTCACCTAAATCGCTTGTTTTACACAAACGTCCTGCAGTTATTGTTATACATTGAATATAATATGAAATATGTCACACAAGTTGTTATGTTAAAGCTAAAAAATAAAAATACAAATAAATATATCTCAATAACGTCTTCTGGAGTGTAAAAAAACATTTTGTTCATGTTTCTACATTTTGAAATCTTCTAAAATCCCTAAATTTGTTGTTTTTATTTAATACATTTGATGAAAAACAGGTCCAATTAATTTTTTGTTTTAAATATGATTATTATTTTGGTGAATTATTATGGTTTTATTGACTTTTAGCTAAGGTTAATCAGCTTTTATAGATATTAATCAGTTCAAGATACCAAAAAATAAGAGTCTAAAGGGGTTTCTTTGNNNTAATATTAAAATGTGCTTTATGTGGATTTTTACCTCACATAAGAGTTAAAAATCCTTCCCTTCACAAACCATCTGCACTCACATGTGGTGCGAAACGGCACCGCCAGTTTCCCCTGAATGCTGTTGACGAGGACCAGGTGACCGGTCCTCCTGGAGATCATGGAGGGCAGCACACCTGGAGACACAAACCTTCATCACAAAGAAGCCCCAAAGTGAAGACCTGGTCCCCCGCCAACCAACCACCGACCACGGGGAGCTACGCCAGCCTACCTTTGGCCAGCGTTGCCGGCCCAAAGTAGTTGTTGTCCATCAGCAGCCTGTCGGTCTCCAGAGACACCGTCTGTGCCGGCGCTCTGAGCTTCATGCTGCTGTTGAGGATGAGGATGTCCAGGCAGCCGTAACACTCCAGGATCTCCTCCACCGCCTCGGGCATGCTGTCCATGTCCCCGAAGTCCAGCAGCACCAGTTTGGGAGGAAACGTCTGAGGAGGAGGAACAGTGAGGAGGAAGAGCTTAAAATGTTTTCTTTACCTACGAGCTTTTATTGTTGTTATTTACATGTTTGCACACACAGGAAGTCAATCAAACTGCACAACTCCTCCCTCATTAGTCATCAAACTGGTGCTGATAATGTGCAATAAGTTCATTAATATTCAATACACTTGATTATTATTATGTTATTCGTGTAATTATTTATAACTTCTGCAAGCCACAATCTTTAAAACTCATTACTATTTAATTTCTATTTTTACATTTCTACTTATATGTAAATACCTATACATACATCTATATTCTACATATTGTGTTAGATATTGTAATATAAGTATTATTTATATTCTTTAAAATAGTGTGAGTAGAACAACTGTAACAAACTAATTTCTGATTAAAATATTAAATAAATGAAGAGTTTCTGTTTCTGTATATGAGGATGTTTTAATGTATCTGCTGCTTTTATTCTTGTTTGTTTTTATTATTAATATTATTATTTGGCATTTTGAATATTAATGTGTTTCTTTGTTGTTTTTTCCTCCATATGCACTTTTTTCAATTTCAAAAACAAGTTATTTGGCTGTAGGTTTTGTATTCATGGAAATAAACTAGTGAACATTTTATCCTCAGAGTTGATATTGTTGTATATTGTTTTTTTTTAATCTACTGTACTTTCTATGAAGTAAAGAAAACTCATTCACAGTTAGATTTGTTGCCCAAAAAACTGAATTAAAATATATAATTGTCTATTGTAAGCAGGTAGAACTGAAACATGAAAATAAATGATGAATATATATTCCTGTTGGACAAAGAACACAGGCTTTTATTTTGAAAGAATCATTTGAAATGTAGAAAAGTTGCTATTTAATAAACAATAAGCATAAAACCTGTTCAACTCAAACATTTATTAGCTCCAACAATTTAAACATGAAAAAATATCTGATTTGAGTACAAATAACTAATTTATTGTAAAAGGTAAATTAAATTAGTTGAACTTCAAACTAGCAAGTATTTTACACTCATAACAACATTTCTACAAACTTATTTAAAATGTGTTCACAGAAATTATTTATTTTACTATAAAGTAACTTAAAACGCAGCTTCTTTATTCATTTTTGAGTTAATTCACAGGAATGAGGATTAAGTTACGTTAGCTAACCTCTTTCATTAAGATACGTTTATGTTATTTACAATAGATTAAAAGTGTTTAAAGTATAAATTCTTTGTCTATAAGTTGTTTAAAGTCTCCACCAAAGAGACGTTTCTCCTCTAAACTGAACGTAAACCTTCGGAGGGAACCACTGAATCAAAACTACCAATCAATCCATTGATCATCAACTTCGTCCTTGTTTTCGGCGCCGGTTTACGTACCACGGTCGGGTCCGAGGCGTTCGCCAGATCATCTGCAAGTTCCTCCAGTTTGTCCCAACATTTCCCGCAGAGGATCAGCCTCGCGCCTCCTTTATGAAACACTCCTGCACATTCTTCATTTATAGAACCAAAGACATAAAAATAACTGATGAGCAGACTGCGAGCTCTTCGTAGAGAAACCGCTTATTCGTTAGCATCCGTTACCTTTTCCGAGCCCCGATAGAGCGTCGGTTATAACCACCACCTTATTGCGTACGGAGGTTTTGGACAGCAGGCCGATGACGGCGCTGTACAGGTAGAAGAATCCAGCCGTCAGCACGACGACACAAGGTACCAGGAGGACGGTGGTGGTCCAGGCCGGGTCCATCTCCTGCAGGATGTCCTGAAACATCGGTGGTTTTTATATTAGAAGGGAAGAATTTAAATAAAACAGTATATTTTTATCTTAACTGCTCAAACAAATTATATCATAGTTCCACATTCTGAGAAAATGTGCTCATTCGCTTTTCTTGTTAGTTTAGCTCAGCATAAAGACAGGAAACAGTCCAAATTTACTAAATCCAGAACCTTTAAAGCTCATTAACGTTATATCTTCTTGGATTATTGGTTAATATTTGTTTCAGAAAACTGCTGCAGTCGAGTCCAAAGAGTCAAGATTTTGAAATCGAACGCTTTTGGAACAAGTGCACTTCATCAATGGTTTTATTTGGAAAGGAGGAAGTTATTTCAGAATAAAACACACACATATATATGACTGGACTCGATCAAGAGCAACTACGCAACTTCACTCTGGTGAAACCAAGTCCGAGTGCGAATACCAACGAGTCCGAGACAACAGAAAAAACATCTTAAGTTTCAGCCACAAACGGTGACGAGACATAAAAACCAAACACTGAATGCTGGAAAATAAATAATTAAATAATAATATTTATAATAGCGTTACGATCTGTAATGTTCCCATATTTTATATTTAATATTAGCTCCATTATACGAACTAGCTTTCTATTGGACAGTTTGAATTAGCGGAATTATCCAATTAAGAGACAATATGTTTTTCTCCGTTAGCTAGCTAGCAATTTGTCCATGTTAGCAAACAAGCAAAAATTGTCAAGATAAAACGAGAATTTAACAATATATTTCACAAAATTCCCTTTTACGTTTGTTTTGACTGTCGTAGTGGGGTGCTAACCGTTTGTTGATGTTAATGGATTCTGTTCGTTAGCTTGTGTTAGCTATTGTTTGCGCTGTAAAGGAACAGGAAAGAAGTCTTAACGTTGCATCCTTTCGATTTTCCAATAAAAAGAGATTAATACGTGTAAACTGTGTCGCATTACCGAGTGAGAGAGAGATCAATGGACAGAAAGCGAATGAGCAAATTTCACCAAATATCAAACTATTCCCTTAAAAAAAAGGATAATTAAACCACCAGTGTTGATGTTGTCGTCATGGTTAGCTAACACGTTTCTGTCGTAAAAGCATGTTCAGAGATTTAAACATACTTTTCAGATGATAAATAATTTTGATGTGATAGTGGAGATGAGATGAGATGAGATCTGATGAACGTGATTTACAGGAAAAAGGAGCGTTTCATACCCAAAAGCTCTCCGGCTCCGTAACATTGGACTCCATCTCACCCTCTACAACCATATTTAAATCTAACTATTCCTACAGCTCTGAAATAAAAACAGAGAAGACACTTTTAACCATGTTCTTACGTTAGTAATTCAAACTGAATAATAAATACCACATTATTAATGTGTATATATGAGATCTGATCACAATATACAGTCGGTGTTTAATGAGGTGAATCACATTCCCAAATCATAAGACTGAAACTAAAATCTGCCATTTGAAGCTGGTTTGTGTTGTTTTGTTCATTAATTAATACATTTTCAGACACAAAACAGTGTCATAAATCCAAGCATGTAGGGAAGGTATGAATCACATATTAAATGCATAAAATCATAGAATAAAACTTCCACAAAGTCTTTTTTTTAACTTTAACTTATCTAATTTTTAACTTCTCAGACCGTAGTTTAAACTTTTAAAAAGTACTTATGAATTGTGAATGTGATTATGTCTTATACGTGGCTTACTGAACAGGCCCATCCTGTTGGAAAATCAGTCTACTGGCCACAAAAACACAAAAAACAACCAAAAATTAACAAAAAACAACCAGAGAAAAATACAAAATAACCTCAGACACACAAAACAACCTCAGAGAGACACAAAACAACAACAAAAAAAATAGAAAATAACCTCAAAAAGACACAAATCAACCAAAAAACAACTAAAAAAATACAAAACAACCAAAAAGAGACACAAAGAAACCACAAAAATAGAAAGTAACCTCAAATAAACACACAATAACCACAAAGAGATGCAAAACGAAGACAAAGGGACACAACAATGGCAACAAAGAAACTCCAGTTGACCATAAAGTTTGTGGTTCTTGCTCCCATGTAGGAGGTTTAGGGGCCCGTTGTCTTCACAGTGTTTGAGTTACTTTAGTATCTTTCATAAAACAACATTTTGCCCAGTTTGTTTGTCCTCAGATTAAGAAGAGCAGCACTCACATGTTCTAGTTTGTGAGTAACCTTTAGGTTGAGGTTTACCGTGCCAAGCACCGGCTGTTTGTCCAGGAAGAGACTTCTAAATATAAACCTGCCCCAGAAATAGATTGTGTATCTCTGTCAGAGGACTCAGAGCCTCATTATTCCACAACAGAGACACAAAACCCCAATTAACTGAACAGGAGACACGTTCAATCCACACAGCAGCTGTTTGTTTGGGTTAAATTAAAGATAAAATATCCTCCAGTTGAGACACAATAAACAGATCAGCTCCTTTCTGACCTCGATATTACAGGAACTGAATAATCAGCCCACACCTACTGCGTCTGCAGCCTCTGCAGGTGATCTGGATTTATTCCTCTCCTGAAGAGCCTCAGCAGCTCGTTCACTGAGCTCCTCCGACGACCACGACGACCACGACCACGGGACAGCCGGACGGCCACAGCAATACTTTGGGATTTGAGCTCTTTTAATAGCAGCACAGCTGAGTCAGTTATTTTCAAGCGTATGTTGTCGACATGTTTAGAGTGACAGGACAAGGGGCTGCTGGGTAAGAGCACTGTGGTATATGGCTGACATTAGTTATGTGCACTACACTGAAACACTGCAAATAAGGAGCCTATTTTGTGTTTTATTTTGAAAAATAATCTGGTTTTAAGAGTCCAGAGTCTTAATAAACATATTAAATTATATCCTGTTAAAATCTTTTAAATGGGAACTAACAGCAACTGTCAAGGAGTTTTTGAATTAAATGTATTCTTGAGTGTTTATAGAGTATATTTGATACTAAAGTCCCTTTACGTATTCGATTAAGACAGAAAATACATTAAAAAAAATCTGTGTTCAAAAATTGATGCCACAAACCTGTTATCATTCTCAAGAAAGTGAAACAGCCTTTTTTCTGGGAAATTAGTCTTATATTTTTGTCTAAAAAGAAAAATAATTTTGTTGAAGATGTTTTTGTATTAGGAAAATAATCTGGTTTTAAAATTTATTTTTTTTACTTTGTCTTAATAAAATAAGAATCTTAATAAGATATTTTCTTAAATTAGTTTAAGAGAAAGTCGTCTGGTCCCAGTATTGGAAATAAAGCAGCTGTTTAGTTTTTCATTGTTTTAATGACAAAATATTAAAAATAAAAATGTTTCTGGTTCCTTTATTTAAGATAAAGTCACTAATTTTTATTATGTTTGAATAAAGTGTGTCTTATTGTCAGATTGCTGATTATTAATCTTCGATTAAAAGGTACAAATTCTTAAATTCAGATCAATAAAGTCACCAAAATACTTATTTTAACAATCTTAAATAAAGAGTTTTCATTGCTTGTAATAAACACAAGTTGCTTAAGTCAGGTTAAAATAACATTATTCATTTCACTTTAAGAGCTGCTGATTAGTTGATGTTATGTGTGTATGTGTGTGTGTGTGAAGAAATTAAAGGTTGGATGCTGATTTTATCACAATAAAAGCATAAAATCTGAAATATCAATCTCTTTTTTTTAACCAAAAACTAACTAAAACAGATATTTACATTAGCATTAAGTACAAGCTCTTCTTATACGCACTGTATTTATATTTTTATTTGTTTAATCTCATCCTTACATTTGTTTGATTTGCACATAAAGCTTCATCGATCAATTAATGTGCAGCTACTCTGATTATCAGTTAGTTAAGCAAAACACTTTCTGGTTTTAGCTTCTCAAATGTGACAATTTGCTGTTTTTCTTTGTCATATATGACATTAAATTGAATGTTGTAGTGTTTTAGACTGTTGACAAGCAAACTGAAGACGTGATATGTATATAAATATGTATATATGTATGAAAAACTGCACAATAAAGGTATTAAATAAGTGACATTAGAGACAAACAGTGCTGCATTATGGTGTCTCAACAACAACATAATACATGTGATTTAATGGGACTATATGTGATTATTTTCCCATCAACATGCATTGATTAGTGGGTCTTATAGTATTCATTTTTAATTTTAATCATTAAACAAATAAAATAAAATAGAACAAAGGAAAAAGATGAAGAGCTGTTTGTTTTTTTTAAATCAGAGACTTTAGAAAACAACAAAAAAGAGACTTTTATAAGATGAATCCATCTAATTGGGCACAAGTCAGTTAATATGTTAATTAAAATCCCTTTATTGATGATCTATTAAGTGTGAACTAATCACTACTTAGTTAGTGGTGAG